GTTTGCACCATTCAGGAACTCCATACTCAGGCTAGGGCTAATTATTCCCCACTACTGAGGCAAGGCCCTTCTGTGTAGTCTACCTAACACCCCATGAATTTTGAGGCTGGTCAGTCTGGCTAGTGGGAACAGGCACTCTCTCGGGCCCTGTGTGAGTAGCAGGCACTGTTATCTCTGATTCCTTCAGGTGGTTCTTCCCTCGACTCTGGGTAGCTTCTTCACGCACATGTGTTGATTAGTACTCTGCAGAAAACTTGAGGGGAACCCTATGCAAATCTCCAGGTTTCTCTCTGTGTACAGCTCTCTCTTCTCTGCTATTCTGTCTTGAGAACTCCAGATGCTTTGTTCTCCCTGGGTTCTCAGTTCCATCTCCCCAGCTTAGCTAGTCTGCTGGGCTCATTTGGCTTCTCCCTCACTGCCCACTATCTGGAAACTCTCTCAAGGCAGTAAGCTGGAGCAATCCTAAGACTCACCTCATTTGTTTCTTGTCTCTCAGGGACCCCCCTCTTTCATTGCCTGATGTCCACTGCTTTGAAAACCATTATTTCATGTATTTTGTATGGTTTTTGGATATTTCAAGTGGGAGGGCAAATCGGGTCCCTGTTACCCTGTCTTGGCCAGAAGCCGAAGTCCCTCACATAAGCTGTTAATGATGTATTTCTTACCTGGAAAGAGTGTAGCTCCTTTGATAAAGCAACACTGAGTCTGAGTAGTTCTAAATTGTTCTCTCTGGTTGCCAGTCTCATCGTCTTTACAAGCATCATCAGTGTCTAATGAATACAGCAGACAGAACCTCATTGAGTCTCAGAAGAGAGGGGGTTGCGACCCCTGTGATGTCATGACAGCTCCTGCCTTTCTGCTGCGTTTGCAGAGTCTCGGCTGTGAGCAAGACGGAGTGACAGAGGAGGCAGAGCTTCGGCAGCCTCGTTCCAGGGACTTGACATCTTCTGCGTTGCCTCGGCCTTCCTCTTCTCACCACCTGCCTCTCACAAGCCACCGCCCTCACCTCTGAACCACCTTGGCACTCTGTGGTTTCTTCTCTGATGGCACAAATGACCTTTTGCCTTATGTATAGCAATTTGTCCCTGTCTCAGCTCCTCTCGGAGACTGCTGGCTCTGTGAGCAAGGCAGTCAGGTCGTGATCAGCTTTGGAATTACCCATGGAGTATCTGGCACCAGGCCTGGTAAGGGCACAGTTTATGTCTGATTCATCTTTGTACTCTAGCCCTGGTCAGAGGCATAGCTAAAGTATGGCAGGGATGGCACGTGCCCTGGATGCCACTTGAAGGGGGAGAGGAGCCGCCTCTGAGCAGTTTCCATCACCAGCTGTGAGAGATCATTCAGCAAGTTAAGATGAATACTTTTGTATGTGAGAGCTTCCATAGCTCAAAGCTGAGTGTGTGATCTTGCTCTGCTGAATGTAAAAAGAGCAGAAAAGGACACAAATGACTGTGAGCACATCATAGACCAGTTTTTAGCAGTGAAAGCAAGGAAGGTGCACTTGTAATTTTCATATAGCGCCATAATGTGTTAAGTAAAAGATTAACGAGCTTGGCTTGTATTTTTTAGCTGATATTATGGTAAAGTTATCTAAAAGGTGGGTGTCCGATGTTTGGACAGGGATGCAATTTCAGTGCTTGCCAGAGGCCCCATTTTCCAGAGATACACCTCTGCGGCCCCTAGCACAGTACTTGGCACAGAGTGTCCTCAGTGGCTACGTAATGGATGAATGAATGAATGAGCACCTTCATGATGGTATCTTCTCAAATATGAGCCATTGTTCTGCCCACATAGTAAGCTGTCTTATCATATCTGGATAGATGTTCTGGCCATGCCCAGTGGAATGGAGTTGGAGGTTCAGGCAGGGGCATACCTGGTCCTAGGGGACTTGCACAGAGCTATTACAACCTAAGGTGGTGCAGAACCCCACATTGCTGCCCTCACCAGTGAAATGAGAAGGAGGCAAACCCTCTGGGGTTTAGAGGTCAGTGGGTGGGACCCGTGCTGTAGGGAAGGCTGGTCCTGGACCTGCGCTGAGTCACCCTGGGAAGATCCAGCCAAACCAGGGATACCCCAAAATGAGGAATTGGTTGGAAGGATTTCGTGTTTGATATTGATAGCACTGAAGGTCATCTATAGGGGAACATGAGAATCCCTTGGGGCCTCCTTTTACTTATTTTAGAAGTTATCCCTATTTTGAGTTACATAGTATATGTGTTTTTAGTGTGGGGGTGGGGTTCTACAGGCTGATCCTGCCCCGGCTGGGATCAGCCCGGTGGCATACTTGTCCCAGCCATGTCTCTGGAAGCGTGTCTGTACCTGATTGGTTTCTATGATGACCTGAGTCCTGCCCTCAGGACCTTGCATTTGTTAATTTGGTGGTGCCAAAGGTTAATGTTCTTGGCTGCTAACTGAAAGTTTGGAGGTTGGAATCCACCCAGAGACACCTGGGAAGAAAGGCCTGGTGATCTGTTTCCAAAAATCAGCCATTAAAAACTCCATGGAGCACAGTTCTACTCTGACACACATGGAGTTGCCATGAGTCTGAATCGACTTGATGGTAACTGGTTTCCCTCAGAAGCACATAATGGCCTCCTTGATCTGCTGATCGAGCGGCAACAGTTCTGTAATCTCTCTCTTCTTCCCATCTCTCCTCTCCTCCCTGTATTCCACATGGGAGTGTATAAGAGTACAACCACTTTGGAAAACCAGGCTGGCAGTTCCTTTAAAGTTAATCATATATACACCATATGATCCAGCAATCCCACATTTACCCAAGATAAATGTGACCACTTGTCTCTACAAAGACTTGTACCCAAATGTTTATAGCAGCTTTATTCACAGTAGTCAAAACCGGGAAACAGCCCAGGTGTCCATCAGCAGGTGAATGGATAAGCAAATTGTGGTCTGTTCATACCATGGTATGCTACTCAGCCATAAAAAGGAATTACTGAAGTATGTAGCAACTTGGATGAATCTCATAAACACTAAAGGAAGCAGAAGAGCACGCGCTGCATGATTCCATTTAAATGAAGGTCAAGAATAAGTGAGTCTCGTCTGTGATTTTAGGAATCAGAATAGTGGTTGCCTCCAGGGTAGGGATTGGCCAGAAAGAGGCACTGGGGAACTTCCTGAGCTGACGGAAATGTTCTATATCATAACAGAGATGAGGCTTATAACATTTGTCAAAGCTGGTCAGACAGTGCACGGAAGGTGGGTGCATTTCACTAGATGTAGATTACACCTTGATGATGGTGATGATGGTGATAAAGTCATTCATGGTGTCCTTTGGCAAGTTACCCGCTTGTTCCCCACATGTGGTTGCCCCAGGCCTGTCACTGAGTGGACACAGAGCCTGGGGTGTAGTTTCAATTCTTGTATATTGATAAGTCATGAAGAGCTGCCCAGAGTTCCTCTCCTTCCTTCCTTCCCTTCCTCGTTCCTTGTCTTCCTCCCTCCTTCCTTCCCTTCCTCGTTCCTTGTCTTCCTCCCTCCCTCCTCCCTCTTTCCATCTCCCTCCAGCCCTCTGTCCCTCCCTTTCCCCTTCCTCCCTTCCTCTTTCCCTCCTTCTCTCCCTCCATTCCTCCCTCTCTCTCCTTCCCTCTTTTTCTCCCTCCTTCCCCCTCCTTCCTTCTCTTCCCCCCTCCTTCCTTCCCCCTTTCTCCCTCCCTTCCTCCTCTCGCCTTCTCTCCCTCCCCCACCCCTCCTTCCTGCCCTCTCCCCGCCCCTCCCAGCCCTTTTGCAGTTCTGAGCTCTTCCTTCCTGTCGTGTCTGGGTCTCCCAGAGCCTCTGGGATGCGGCTGTGTGCAGTGCGGTGTTGGCCCCTGCTTTGCTCAGAGGCAAGTGTTGTGAGCCTTGTCTACACCTGGGCTGCAGGTGCCCCCAGCACAGCCTGTGCTGGGGGGCGGGCAGGTTCACCCAGGATCCGATTGACTGAGTAGTGGTGGGGGCCTGTGGCACCCAGTGTCAGACGCTTCATCAGTGACAGATGGGTTGCTGTCCTGGGGCTGCTGGAACAAAGTACCACATACTGGGCGGCTGGGAACAACAGGACTTTATTCTCTCTCAGCTCTGGAGGCTGGAAGTCCGAATTCAGGGTGTCGGAGAGAGCCGTGTTCTCCCTGAAGCCTCGATTGCAGGACCTTCCTTGTCTCTTCCAGCTTCTGGTCGCCCCAGGTGTCCCCCAGCCTGTAGCTACATCACTCTAATCCCTTCTCCTCTTTTTATAAGAACACCACGTATGTAGGATTAGGACCCACCTTACCCCAGCAAGACTTATCTTAGTGGCTAACATCTTCAAAGACCCTATTTCCAAACAACGTCACGTTCACAGGGACTGGGGGTTAGGACTTCAATGTATCTTGTGAGGAGAAACACAATTCAACCCCTTACAGCGACTTTTCCAAATTTTAGCCACCCGTGCGAACTGACACGGCTGCAGGCACCCACCATACAGGCCAAGTCCTGCAGGGCGAGCCACCCAGCACACAGGCCAAGTCCTGCAGGGCGAGCCTGCCTCTTGTAAGAAATTAGCTTAAGAACCTGGCGTTGGCGCTGGCGGGCCGCCCTCTCTCCTGCGCCTTCCTCCCTCCTCCAGCATCCCCTGCCGGCCCTGCTCCCTGCCCCCACCTCCAGAAGAAGCGGATTTAATGCCTCAGCTGAGAGAATGAGATGTTCTGTTATTTTTCATGGGAAATTAAGCCCGACCCTGCTGTCAGTTAGCTCATGCCCAGGGAAGATGGATGGTCGGGGAGCAGCGCTTAACCTCTGCTCTGGGACCGCCAGGGCCAGGGTGGAGGTGCCTGGGGGCCAGCCTGGCCAGGAGCCAGCCATGATGTCACCGCCCCCCGGGGTGGGGGTGGGGACAGCAGGCAAGACAGAGAGCCTTCATCCTGGTGATAGATGGCTGTGAGGCCCCCAGTCGGGGTTACCAGGCAGTCCTGCATCCATGTGCCATGGCCGCTGGTCCAGGAGGACTCAGCTGCTCCTGTCTCTTTCAGCTCCCAACTCCACCTCGTGTCCCGCCGAGGAGAGCTGGTGGTCGGGGCTGGTGGTCATCATTGCGGTATGCTGTGCCTCCTTGGTGTTTCTGACTGTGCTTGTCATCATCTGCTACAAAGCCATCAAAAGGTGAGTGCCCGCCCAGCCCCCGCCTGGCCCCAGCTGGGCCCGGTGCCCCCTCGCCCACCTCCATCATATATGTTTTCAAATTATTAAAATTGTTAGACATACAAGAAGCAGAAAGAATGCATAGTGAACTTCATCTACCCTCACCCTGATTCAGCAGTTGTCAGCACTTGGCTATATTTGCTATATCTGTTTCCTTTTGCCCCTTTTCTCTTTTTCTTCACTGGAATGTTTGAAAGTGGTTTGCAGACATGACACCCTTGTCATTTTTAGGGAGTTTGGCTCAGCAAGCATGTGATGAGCAGCAATCGTAAGTCAGGTCAAGTGCAACACAAGGTGACCTGTAAGTGGCCGGCCCTGCCTTGGGGAGCTCGCTCGGGGCCTGGGAATATGAAACTCATCCTCATAGGTCTGGGTGATGGAGTCAGATCTGAATTCAGACCCCAGTGCAGGCTATATGACCAGGAGGAAATCACTTTACCTCTCTGGATCTCAGTTTCTCTATCCGTAAAATGGAAATAAGAATAACTACGTCATACCGTTCTGGGGTGGTGGGGGCGGGCAGTGGTGGTTCAGTGGGAAAATCCTTGCCGTCCATGTGGGAGACTCGGTGGGAGACCCAGCTCCCACTCCCGGCCAGTGAATCTCGTGTGCAGCACACCCCCACCTGTCATTGGAGGCTTGCGTGTTGCTATGATGCTGAACAGGTTTCAGCAGAAGCTTCCAGACTAAGACAGACTAGGAAGAAAGGCCTGGCAGTCTACTTCCAAACAGTCAGCCAATGAAAACCCTGTTGATCATGACAGTTCAATGCATGGGGTCACCATGGGTCGGGGACTGACTCAATAGCAGCTAACAACTATTCTGGGGAGTAGTGAGATGCCTTCGGTAAATAATATGCCCAGTATGTATACTCTGCTGTGCCTGGCATACAGTAAGTGCCCACTAAGTACTGTACCAGCTTCTGTAGTTCCGGCAGAGTCATGGGTACGAGGAGGAGGCATGACAGGAGGAAGTGATGGTTCTCTTGGGGAATAGGGAAGGTCGAGATGCCTGAGGGAGGTTGTCAGTGGATATGACACCTGAGCTGGGTTTTGAAGGATGAATAGGAGTGTTTCAGTAGAGTATGAATGATCCAAAGGGCAACTGTCTTTCACTAATGCTAGTCCTTTCTGTTTCTATCATCTCCCTTTGCCTTAAAAAAAAGTTGACCGCACGCCATCCCGTTGTTGGCATCCGGGAGAGTCGGAGTTGGGGTCTGTAGCGCAGTGTGGCTGGTACTGGGCCCTGCGGAGGCTCGGGCTGTGTCCAGGCTCTCAGGTACGGTAGAGTAGGCCCAGGTGTGAGTGGCACACTCTGGAGGTGCACAACACAGCAGCTCTGGCAAGGCCCCTTGATTTCTAGTCTTTATCAACACCCTCCAGAACACCATCTCTAGCTCACAAGGACCTTGAAGGAAGACAGAGTCAAAAGACAAACAAAAATGTTACAAAACGCGAACGGGAAATTAAAAAAAAAAAAAAACAACCAAACCAGCCACCATAGTCGTCACTGACTCATGGCGACCCCATGTGTGTCAGATTAGAACTGTGCTCCATAGGGTTTTCAGTCGCTGATTTTTTGGAAGAAGATCACCAGTCCTGTCTTCCGAGGCACTTCCAGATGGATTCCAACCTTCAACCTTTTGGTTAGTAGCCAAGTGCTTAACCATTTGTGCCAACCAGGCAGCCTTAAACAAACCCATTGGCTTTGAGTTGATTGTTAATAATATAATGAATTTCAAAAAAAGGTTTTAAAAATTTTCCCTGGGGCCCAAAGTTAGAGGGTCTACATTAAGAAAAATCACAGCACGTGAAACATTTCATTTTGCTCTTTCAGCCAGTTGTTCTATGAGATTTCACTTTATAATTCAAAAGCAGAAAGAGTCAAATATAAAGTTACAAGTCTTAAAACCCCTTAAAACGAGTGCACAGTTAGCATACAGGCTGAAGGGCCAAGCAGAGCCACACCTGGGCGGAGAGGCGCGAGGGGCCGTGGTCCTGGGCATCTGCCTCCAGCCAGTGAGAGCCTGCTTCCGCCCCCAGCGCTCTCGCCGCCCGGCAGTCTCCAAAAACAATAATAATAACAAGGGAATAGCTACAGTCGGGTGTCTCCTGGGGCCGGGCTGTGATTGTCTCTTCTCCGGCATTCTCTGAGTTCATCTTCACCGCATCTTTTCCCAATCAGCTCCATTTTACAGATGCTGAAACTGAGGTTCCAAGAGGTAAGGGAGCAACCCAGGATGGCACAACCAGGGAGCAGTGGAGCCAGATTTAGAACCTAGGACCGGCCGGCCAAAACCATGGTGCCGTGTGGCCGCTGCAACTGATGAGCTCCGCTCCAGTGTTGGGCTGACATCAGCCCTCACTGTTCTGTGTGCCCTTCCTTGGGGGTGCCCGGAAGAGGGGTGTTGGGGTGTGGGGGCATGTCTGTGCCCCTCTGAGGCCAGAGGACAGACAGATGGAAAGGCCCTGAGGCTCCAAGACCCTGTAACTCAGGGTGGGCCACACCCAGGTGAGACTCAGGCTGCTCGCCTGTTCTAGGCAGGAGGCAATGAGGCCGTGGGAGGTCTCGGCAGCCTGTTGTGGGTGCTCCTTCAGAGCGGAATGACGCAGCATCTGAGCTGCGGGCTGCTGGAATGGAAGGAGGGTTTTCAGAAGCTGAGCCGGGAAGGCATTCCAGGCAAAGGCACTTGTGTGAGCAAAAGCACAACAATCCCAGAGCACCAGGAACCCCCTGCGACGTGGGAGATGAGGCTGGAGGAGCCACGAGCCTGACTGGGGACCGTTTGCTGAGTGGTTTGCCTGTGACTCTGGGCACTGGGAGCTACTGAAGGTTCTTGAGGAAGAGCGAGCATCAGCAGGGACTCCTCCTTGCCTTCCCTCGGGGTGCTCAGCATAATCTTTTTAATAAGCTGAGGCTCTTAACAAAAGACACACAGTCCCACCAAGCCATTTCTGCCTCCCTCTCGGCTCAACCTCCCCTGAAGTAACTGTACCTACTTCAGTGGGAGGAGGGAAAGGGGAGCACTGCGCCATGGCTGTGCCAGGTCCTCTTAGCAGGGCTGGGCTCTCGCAGGAAGGAAGGGGGACACCATTCTCGACTCTTCTCAGAGCAGCCCCGGGGGCTTCCTGCCTGCCCTCTGTCCCCTCCCACCTGCTCTGAGCCCTAGATTCCTGAGAAGAGCCAGATGGTTGAGGTGACTAGTCTTTGATGACAGGGCTCCTTACAGGGGTACAGGCCAGTCAGAGTCAGGGGAGCAAATGGGGCTGAGGAGGCACTCAGGGACCAGCCGCAGTGGGAGTGTCCCTACCCCTAGGATGACAAGGCAAGGGGAAAAAGTTGAAATGGTGCCTCCCAGCCAGAGAGCTGGAGCTTTGAAATAAGGGTCACCCAGGAGGAGCTGTGGTTGAAATTGCTAGAGACACAGCCCCAAATGGGAAGGGAGAGGGGAGGAAACGCCCCAAATTCTCCAGGCCCTCTGGTCTCACCTTCGGTCCTCCCATTGGCCAAACCCAAGCTGGGGCAGTGGAAGGGGGTTGGGGAGTGGGGCTGGGAGATAGGGGAAGTAAGGGGTCAGCCTCCCTGGCATAGGGCAGGGAGAGAGGGCGGAATGGATGGTGGGGGTTGGGGGGTAAGGGTGGAGTATGGAGAGAAGGAGAGTAGGGGCTGGCATTGAGTTGGGGGGAAGGAGAGGGGCTGGGAGGTGGGGAAAATGGAGTTCACCATCACAGCCCCTTTGTGCCCAGGCACCGTGTCCTACCCCGTCCTCTGGGCCAAGACCCGGGGACATGGGGGTGAAAGACACAGCCCTCTGCCCTTCAGATGCTCCTAATCCAGAGGGGTGTCCTGGGCACACACCCACAGATACTCGGTGACGGGGGAGGGCTGTGCTCTCTCAGTGCTCCCACAGCCCGCCTGGTCAGGGGGCTTGCCTCACTGAAAGGGGCGGTGGGGAGGGAGGCAGAGAAGTTAGGACCCCACCCAGTGGGTGTAGAAGGGCAAGTGGCCCTCACTGCTGGGCTGACCTCAGCTGGGGCAGTGAGAACGTCCTGCTCGGAGCTGTCTGCCTGTCTCCCCGGAGGAAACGGGATTTCTTGCTCATGGCCAAATCTTTTTGGTCAATGAATTATCTGAAACAAGCCTTGTCTTTCCAGAAACAAAGGCATTCCGTGCCGCTGTAAACCCGTAAAGAGGAGAGAGAATTCAGGGATAAGCCCCCTTCGTTTGGCTTCGTTTGTTTGTTTTCTGTGGTAAACTCTCACGGCCCCACGGCCCAAGGGATGGTTTCTGGAAGATCTTTGTGAGTGCCCCCAACACAGCCTTTCAGAACCAGTCTACATGGTTCTAGCTGGAGTAGGGAGGAGGTGATTCTGGAGATGCCGGCTTGGCATCTGGGGTGGGTGTCTGCCACAGGACCACGAGCGTTGGAGGTGGCTAGGGGAGAAGACTGAGGGGGGCACCTGTCACACGGCCACAGTGAGACCACAGGTGGGAGGTGAGGTCATCAGCGCAGAGTCAGTGAATCAAAACCTCTTGCTGCGACTCTATACATTTCCCGGTTCCCCCTCTGTGCTGCAGGACACTGTGACTGGGGCGCAGGGGCCGTGGGGGCCCAGACAGAGGGCCAGGAAGGTTTCTCGGTGACGTGGAGCTGGGTGGGCACCAGCCAGGCCAAGGGGCTGAGGAGGGTGTTGCTTGCAGTGGAGCTAGCCTGTGTAATGGTCCCGAAGTTCCCACCAACTACCCCAAATTTGGGCAGATTTCCCCGCACCGGAAGGCCTGCAGCTTGCATTTCTGTGGTCCCCCTGCCCTGAGCTTGTGGTGAACAAGCTTCTTTCTCCATAGCCCCAGGATGATCTGGTCCAGAGCCCTCACGCCCCCCACCCAGGCCCCCTTCCCACCCCTAGGCCTGGCGTGCTCACACCCTGCATAGCAGGACAACCTGGGGTTGTTCAAGGACC